ACATGTGGAGATTACAGAAGATTGCAAAGTGATAGTGACGACGGGTCGAATGATTGAAATCTGAGGTAATGGATCAACCTGCTGGAGGTGCTGCTGGAGGCGCTCCTTCTGCAGGTGGAGCAGCTTCCGCTGGCGCTGGAGCTCCCTCAGCAGGAGGTGCTGGTGCTGGTGCTGGAGCTGGAGCTGGTGCCGGTGCCGGTGCCGGTGCTGGCGGTTCCGGCGATGGCGTTGGAGCTGCCTCTGGCGGTGGAGGTGCAGGCTCGGGCGTTGGCTTCGGTTGTGGCTCAGGTTCTGGAGGTGGAGCTTCCTCCTAGGCGAAGAACAGGTGAAGAACTATCTGCCCATTGAAACTTTGCGATACACACACAGCGAACCATGCAGTGAATAATCACTCTGCGAGCTAACCGTTTAACGAAAACGTTGCTTACGCTGTTTGCAGTTTAGTTCGAAATGCAAGCGACTTAAACCGCACGGTTGGGACAGTGCCTTGAAAAAGGTTTATATATTCCACGGTAGAAGTAGGCATTCGGATTTAATTCAGCGGAACCCGAAGCACGCGGTCAGTATAAAATTACATTTTCCAGCCGCGTTGCACGTCGACGACACACGCATTAAATCGCGTGACGTACGTGGACAGTGTGCACGTTTCGCGAATGCAGCCGGTTTAAAGCGTCATTTATAGATACATCGTTTGTACAGGCGAACGATAATTACGCTTTATGTTAACGCTCAAGAGCTTCAAACGCGACGAGGACGGGGATCCTCTCTCTCTCGTGGTGCGACTGTTCGATACCGTGAATCAATGACTATTTGCGATAACGAATATTATCAAGATAATTAAACAATAGCGTCGCGACGATAAACATTGCTAGGTAATTTCAATTCCCGCGTCCAACGAACCAGTTGTTTCGTGTGCACATCGCGTGCCCTCCGAATGCATAATTCCGGGCACGTGTTCGCTGGAAAAACGTGAACGTAGAATTTAACCGAAAAATTGCCCGACGAATTATGGTAACGATCGAGGTAACTGCAGGCGGCAGTTATTTTTCGGCAATGCAACGACTTTACAACGTAATAATCCGCATGCCGTGTGTCGCGTTCAAACGTAAACAATGTAGAAATTCGTAGCGAACATTATGCAAAAGCTTTACGAAATGCGGTAGCGAATCGTAATGAAGCGTGGATCAGATTAGTGATCGAACCTACCGTGCTTGTCCTCCCACAGAAAATTGAATTCTCTTTTCTTTTTTCTCTCTCTTTTATCACAGACGAATAATGGCGAGGAAAATTAGCTAAAAAGAATTCGAAAAAAAAAAAAAAAAAAAGAATTCTTCACGTGACACGAGAGCTTAACGCGAAAGTTCAGTTTCTCAAAGTGCCGCCGATATTTATAAGACGTGGCGTAAAATCTCCTGACAGAATGTACTTACACGCCTCGCTGTACGCTCCCCGCCGCCATTCTACACGCCTCATTGACTCTTTGACAGGTTTACAATCTCACGAACGAACGAACGAATCTCGCGCGCTCGATAGATAAAAAGCGCAGTTCACTTGCGCAAAAGCGAACGAGCACGTTGTAATTGAGCCATTCGCGGAATTAGCAACGGTATTCTCGGCGAATTATCTTGATTTTAATATTCGAGTTTCCAATACGGCGCGGTTAACATTCCTCTGGACGTTATCGAACCTAATCGAACGCGGCAGTTTTAAATACGCTCGACATCTATATGTAAATTCGTCCCGGCGACGAATGAACTTGTCACCGGCGTCTTCGATCTTAGAACACAGAACACGAAGTACGTGGGAATGAAACAAAGGGAATGGAACACGTGGAGAGAGAATTGGAGAGAATGAAACACACACAATGCGCGATGCATTTCATCGTCGTTAAATATTTTGCTTTACAATCGAAGGCTTGTGTTAACGATTCCTTTTCTTTTTTTCTTTTTTTTTTTTTTTCTTGCTATTCCATTACGTTTCATTTCTCCCTTCATCCGGCTCGCAGAGAATTATTACATCAACGTACAATGGGGTTACATCGTGTACTGTTTTGGGATTGACAAGTGTGTAGAAAAAAAAAGAAAAAAAAAAAAGAAAGAAAGAGAACATTGACAAACGTTGGAGGCTTTTTAAAAAAATATACACACGAAATATCTTCTTGACGAAGAAAAAATACGAGACTGGTCAGTCACAGAAAACTCTTCGTTATGGATTAGAACTCGGAATACTTGAGAAATCAGACATCTGACAGCAGCCAGTGATGGTGGAGTCATCGTGGACGAAACATACGGACACGAAACGTGATCTCTTGCGTGCATTTCGGGAGTATCTTTCTTTTTTGTTCTTTTTTTTCTTCTCGTTTTTTTTTTTCTTTTTTTTAGGCGTAAAGTTAATCGAGACGGTAACGAAACAAGAAACAAAGAGACAGACAGACAGAGACAGAGAGAGAGAGAGAGAGAGAGAGTAAGTAAAAGTAGTTATGATTAGGAAGTTCGTTGCGTCGACTTGTGTTATCGGATGGATGGATGGACGATCCTTTCTCGAAAACGCGTCGAGAGAGCGCTTGTCAATAGCTTCATGCCTCGACCTCCTCTTCCTTTACCTTCTTTTCCTCGCCTTTCTTCGACCAGTCGGGTTTCTTCTGCAAAATTTCAGAAAACAAATGTGAGACATCATTGCGACTTGCGAATGGAATTCGGTTTGCACACGCTGGAGGAGTCCGCCTCCTCCTGGTTAGCGCCGCGGGGAAACTTTCGCAAAGCAGGGCAACGCGCAGGTGGGGACGCGCGAGAAATTCATCGTGGCCGAGAACTTGCCAGTAACCGCGCGTACCAACGTAACATCGGCGAAAATCGTGGTCTCTGAACTCGTTTTCCAATTTAAAAGTTCCGAGTGTCGAGCAAGCGTCGTCAGTTCAGTGGACGACGACGTGTCGCGATCTTCTCTCTTCGTCGACATTCAAAAAGCCGTGCAGATTGTTAGTGAAACGAAGGCGAGAGAAGATTGAAAATAAAAAGTCTCGTTCACGGTATCGAACGATCGAAAGAAAAACTTGCAGAGTCGCGACTCGTATCGTTAGGGGAAGTAAGCTCTTTTTCTATTCTAAATCCTATGATCTCTTCTGGCTCGTTCCTTCACACCATCCCCTGTAATCTACATTATATCTCTCGTCTAAACACACGCACTAGCTGTACTCTCATACTAGAAGCATGCCGATCTAAACGAGTTGATCGTTTAAAGCTTTACCTTATCTTTTGACGCGTTCTGCGAACATAATGCAAGAGCAACATCATTAGTCAACAGATAAGACATGGACAATTATTAGAGCGTACATACTAATTAATAACTTAACGATTAAAGGAGGTCGCGCGTGATTCATTCAATCGACGATCTCGTCGCCGTTTCTCGATCGTACAGCATGAATCACGCTCGATACCGTGATCGAACCGTGCGTCGAACATCGTAAATCGCAACTTCGAACCGTATGTGTTCTCGTCTTGTGAATCGCGATTTATCTTGACAATTGTACGTTGTGCTTTACGTTGATCACAGGTTGAACGAATCGGATCGATGTACGGCTCGAAAGAGAAATAGAGAGAAAAAGAGAGAGAGAGAGAGAGAGAGAGAGAGAGAGATAAAAAACGCAGACGGGACAACAATCCTACACATGTAACAGCCTGGCAAGCATGGCAGCCGAATAATGGCAGCAAAGGCATTAAGCTGCGAAAGAGCTTATTGCGATCTTGGAAAGAATTTTAATTGAAAGTGACGGCTTCTCGCAGCGGGCGGCTTTCGTTTTTCGTCTAGTTTTCTCTGTACGCTTTGCGTACGGACAACCTAAACGTTTTCCCTAAACGACGGTTTTCACACGTTTGCGTGAAGGAGCCTGGCGCGCGTCACGTGTTTTCAAACAGAAGATAAACGAAATTGAATGCAGAAGAACAGAGTCAATGGATGAATAATTAGAGAGAAATGACAGAAAGAGTGAGACAGGAAGATAGAGAGTGTGAAAAAAAAAAAGTAGAAAGACAGACAGATAGATAGATAGATAGACAGAGAAGATAAATAAACAGGCACTTGTGAGTAAAGCGCTTCTGCGATTACGTACGAAACGAAGAAGAAAGTCTGTGAGTCTTAAATATTAACTTTTGTAAGCCATTCTCACCTTTTCTTTTTCTTTTTTTTTTTCATGTCGCTTTTTTTTACGTTTTCGGTTTTTCTTTCTCTTTTTTCAATCACCGACATCGTTGCGAAATGGCATTAAACAGTGAAAGTGAAAGAGAGAAAGAGAGAGAGAGAGAGAGAGAGAGAGAGAGAAAGGAGAAAATTAGACGCGTTAAAAGCAAATTAAGTACAATTTCACGTATAATAACCGGCTACTGTGCCGTACTGTCGTCGTCGGAACACGCAAGACGGATAACAGAGGGAAGAGAAAAGTGGAGCTTAGAGAAAAAATTAGTGGAGCAGAGCGGAACGATTCTCGATAACACTCGACCCATTCTTATCGGTGATTCCATAAGAATCGTCGTCTAGATCGCCTTCGTTCGCTGCATTTTATAGAGCGAGCGCGTTTTCATATTCGCGCGGGGTCGAGTCTCGTCGAAAAGAGAAAAAAACAAAAAACAAAAAAAGAAAAATATGTACAAGAGAAATGTTGATGAATGAAATGAAGAAGGGAAAACGTCGAGAGAGTAATACGAGCTACCGTCGAAGAAGGTGGAGGGAAAAAAGTAAGAAGTGACTTGTCGAGGATAATTATTTTGCCTTCTTTTGACGTTATTTGATCTTTCTTCGATCGTTTATTGACACAGCATCCTTTGTGTGGTGTTCGATTCGATTACTCGGTCGAACGAGTTGGAAAACAAAAAAAAAGGTTGTATAACTTTGGCTTATTCGCCTAATGCGATTATATACCGAGGAAAAGATTTACAAAGGTGTACGATGAAATTAAGAGAGGGGGGGGAGGAGGAGGAAAAAAGAAAAACAACCGGAAAAATGGACGAGCTGTTGAGATGGAAAGATGGTAGAAAGAAATCACGTTGATCAACGTGAACCTATTATAACCGAAATGGGAAGAACGGAAACGTTTTCTCCGGCTATTTCTTCGCGATATGTTTCTTCTGTGCTCGCGTTGTTGTATCACGCGATTCGGTTGTTGTACGAGGTGTTAAAGCTCTTTTTGATAGTGTATCGTTATTGCTTGACTGCCTGTATACGCGTGTGATATCGTTTTTTTTCTTTTCTTTACGTTTATTTTACGTTTTTTTGTGCATGTGTGTGTGTGTGTGTGTGTGTGTTTTGTTTTTTAAATCTATTTCTTCGTCTGCCACTCTGCCTTCTCGGACTTCTTGGGCTGTGGAGAACAACACAATTGCCTAGTCAACTATCGCTACTACTGGGGCTCTTACGTATACGAAAAAAAAAGAGAGAAAAGGATAAAAAAGAAACGGTGTCACTTTCAGGAGATCAACCGGTTTTTCAACGCTCGACGCGTCAGATCACGAGAGGATTTGACGAATTCGTTTTCAATCTCGCGGCGAATAGAACGCGGCGACAGGCCACATATCGAAGTGTCAAGGGACCTCGAAGACAAAGGAACAAACACACGTGATTTTGTTTTTCCACTTTATCGGAAATGGCCGAAAATGGTAGGTTCGTTTGATCTCGATGAAAGGACGCCCGAACAACAAGTGATTAAGACTCTACTGATACAAGGAGAAAAAAACCTGCTGACTGGGTTTTGTACATGGAAAGAAAACCAGAGCCACAAAAAGTGTCTTTCTCAATGGCTGGAAAAAAAGACGTGAATACAGGCCCGCCCCGTCTGGGCGGCGAAAGAAAGAAAGAAAGAAAGATAGAAAAAAAAAAAAAAAAGAAAAAAAGAACTTCAAAAACCTTCAAAATCGTCGCGTACGAAAAAAGATTTCAAAAAGCACGACTCCCACGCGGCGGGGCATAAATTCGCGGAGATATAAGATACTCTCTGATATTCTCGACAAAATTCTGTCTCCTACGTGAGAGGAGAAGGCCACAAATGGTCACCGAGAGCATGAATGTCTTCATCGCCAGCGTCTTATATCCCCGTGAACTTTGCTCGCCGAAACGAAGAAGAACCCAAAATGGACCGCCGACGGGAGGCGGCAGGGTTTGTCGGTCGGGGGAGGAAAAAAGTCTACTTAAAACTATATATATAGAACGTCGAACGGCTTCGAGTTTGTCGAAAACGATCGTTCTTACCTCCTTGTCCTCTTCCTCGAGGGTGAATTCCTTCTTCTTAACCTGTTTAAGCTGGTTACGGAAGTTGAACTCGGCCGCCTTCTTCTGCAGCTTGGCGAACTTGTTCTCGTACTTGGAGACTTTCTTCAGCGTCGGTTTCATGCTAACGACATCAACGACGGGCGATTATCATTGCCGCATTTAAATACACAAATAGAGAAGAGAAGAGAAAACGAGAATTAGCTTCGACGGTCTTAACGAAACGAATGAAAGAAACGACGTAGGAATTGTTTTACTTACAATTTGCCTCGAAGGTCGTTCACTTGGCTGTTCAAGTCCGCGATCTGCAGCGATCAACAAACAACGGTATTAAAATTCACGTTCCGTCCGGTATAATAATCGGAGGCAAAGGCAAAGGTAGTCATGCGTGCTTCTCGTCTTCGAGAGACTTTTATCGCGAGACAGCGGTGGGGCAGCGGGAGAAATCGATGAAACGATGCTCTCAGGGAACTTTCGTTAGACGTTCGGATTGAAAAAAAAAAGAAGTTTCGAAGTCGAATCGGATAGACTCGGAGTAAATTGCACTCGAATTAATGGCCGATCCGAGGTTCCCAGAGGGCGATCGTTTCTCGACGTTGTTTTAGAACGGGGCAGCTCGTGCTCGCGTAGGGGATATTTATCCCCGTGGATGGTAATTACATTAAGAAAAAAAAAAAAAAAAAAAGAAGAAAAGAAAGAAGAAGCGTTTCTATTTTAATCACAGTGACCACCACACTTCAATCGCAAAGAAAAAAAGAAAGACACAGAACGCAACACAGCAACGCTCACGCACGTGTAGAAGCTAGAAGACGTTGCAAGACGATCGAAATCGAGCAGCGATCGGTTAGGTTAAGCGGACGAAAGAAGGAGAAGAGCGTAGTACTCGGAGAGCGGAAATTAGCATGCGACCTGCGTGCCAGAAGCAGGCGGGAGAACAGGGTTCGCAATGAATACAGAGATATTCGGTTAGCGAGCCACTCGACGAATCGAGATTGACAATAAATTGGTTTGCTTGATTAACTGCAATGCCAGGTGACTGTGATAGGACCGGAAACGACGGGATGCTGAGGGAAAGAGTGCTCGTGTAGTCGAAGAGCAGGAAGAAGGTTACATCGGAGGGAGGGGGGGAGAGGGTGAGAGACAGAAATATGGACGAGGTTGTCGATGCGCGAAAATAAAAAAAAAAAAAAGAAAAGAAAAAGAAAGAAAGAAAGAAAGAAAGAAAGAGAAACTAGCGACTGGATTAAACTCGTACACGTACACATAGCTTCCTTGACATATCGCCGCAAAGATAATGAGTATTGGCAAAGTTAAGCTATCGTTGCAGGAGACTGGACGATCACAAATTGAAAAAAAAAAAAAGGAAAAAAAAAAAAAGGTTAACACGTTGCCTCGACTTTGATGCAACAATCAAAAGCCACGTTCTTCCGTTTACATTGAGCACGAAACAAACAAGTCTCTTTGACAAGCTTGTTGTTTAGGAGGGGGGAACCGGCGAATTTGTAGCTCAAAGCTTTATCTCGCTCGTGTGCGACACATTGGCCGTGTCGACGGGGTAGATGTTGCGAACGATAAACGATTGTGCCGTGACAAATTTCATTCACTGCTGGAAATTACGACCGAGAACGTCAACGGCATTTCCGGTGAAAATGCAAATTAACAACGTGATTACAAAGTTACGATCGAGAGAATATAATCGAAGTGTGTCGCAGTCGGTCGTTTCGACCATTATCATGAACCTTACCATGAAGGTTTCCCCTTCATCCGAGATGCGCCCGGTTTTCTTCCCCGGGAAGGGAAAAATCTTTCGAACAAATTGATTTTTCCAGCGTCTTTGAATAGCTTCTTTTGGTAAAAAGCTTCCTCCGGAAGCCACTTGTCGGATTCTCTCCGCTCTCCCTGAGAGACGTGTTCCAGTCTTCGCTTTCTCGTGTTCCGTTTCACCTCTTCGCGGAACGTACGTACACGACGAGAAAGAGAGGACGAGAAAGCGAGTCGTTCAAAGGGGGAGAGGCAGAGAGAAAGAAAGAAAGAGAGAAAAAGAGAGAGAAAGAGACACGGAGGAGGAACGACGAATTACAGAGAAAAGTGGAGGAACAAAGAGGGATCGAGATGGTGAGAAGGGATCAGCGGATGATGGGACGTGAATTTCATTCTGGCCAATCGGGGCAGAGCTGGTCGCGATCAGCTCCTTGTCCGCTAGGGGAAAAAGAGAGAGAAAAAAAAAAAAAAGAAAAAAGAGGTAAAAAGTCCACTACAATCCCTTTTCTGGTCCGTAAGAATTCTGTTCCTCTCGTTGCTCGCTGCAACCCTCTAATTCCCCAGATTCGCCGCTAGATCCTTATTCTCTCGTAAACACGTCCGACATCTAAACCATCGTCGTAATACCAAAGATACTTTGTATCTCGATCGAACGACACACGACAAACTAGGAAAGAAAGATCGTTTGATTGAACAACTGAGCGAAAGATCAGAGCGAGAGAGGGGAGCAGACCGTTCGAAGAGCAACAGACTTCCCGGCAGAAAGGATCCGCTATTTACAGGCCCAATTGAACACCATGACAAGAGGACACTGACAGTCGGTGGTGCGTGCGAATCGGTGCAAAATCACTTTCGCTCGTTCCCATTTCGACGATCGTAGACGCGTGTACGTGTCCACTTTCACGTCTCTTCCAACACGAAACGGGAGAACAAGAGAACGAAAGAGAAAAGACAGACAGACAGACAGACAGACAAAGAGAGAGAAAGAGAGAGGGTGAGACAAAAAAAAAAAAAGAAGAGAAACCATATCGTTTCATTCTACTTTCACATTCACAGACATACAGGGGACTTAGAGGGGGGGAGGGGAGGGGGGCTAATTTACATGGGAGCGTACATACAGACGAAAAACAGTGGGGGGAGGGGGAGAGCGACACGAATTAAAGAAACTGAAAAAGAAAGAAGGGGGGGAGGGCGGGAGGAGAATTTTCACAGCATGGCACTTCGGTCTCGTGGTCTTTTTCCACTTCGGTTCCTCGAGACGGTCCACCTTCGTGAGAGTTAAACAAGTGGAATCAAGATAGAAAGAAAAAAAAAAGCGTGGAGAAAGGAGGTAACATACAACCAACGTTTGATTATCTACAACTTTCGGGAGAGAGAAATACGATATGATACACCGAGTACTCTATTCAAACACGGAG